ATTTAGTAGGGGGTCTTATAATTATGAGACACCCTGTATTTCGAAAAAGAAAAATATCTTCTCACTTCTTTTTTGTGGATTTCTTAGAATTATTTGGTTGATAGTCATGAGAGTTCATTAATGATATGCGACATAAACTATATCCTGATGTAAAGAAAGGCAAGAAATAATTGTTTCTCTTATGTTCATATACCATTCAGCAGAGAACTAAAATAGCGTTATTTTTCATATAAATTGACTGAATATATGAGCAAATGAATGAAGTATTTCCAATGAAAACACTCTAAACCTAATCTTTCTGATGACATCAAACATAGCTAAATCTCGTGTAGATCAATCACGTGACATACCGTACAGAATGCATTAGAAAGTTTTATTTTATTAGCCAAAGTTTTCTACCATTGACAATGACAAAATACGTAACATAAAATTGGATTTTATGAGGAAGTACGGACATTTTTGTTGATAATGAGCCCCTTCTTTTTGTGGACTTTGTCGTTTTTTTCAAGCTTTAAGGTGAGTAAAATGAAGAAAGCATAAAAATTTAGACACTCGTCTATTCGATTCGACTGATTTTGTTCATTTTAGTTGTAAGGACAACTAACCATTAATAATGAATCATACAGATAATTAAACAATAAATCGATTGTTTCAATGATCGACATTTCTAGCTTCGCACCGCATTGTGTATTCGAGAGAAATTCGAATACTATCTAGTCTATTATCAGCTATCTATGTACAGTTCTGATGAATAAAATCAATTTGCCATCGTTTTAATTATCTCGCAGCTTGAAAAACAAAAGCTAAGCCCATAAAAATTTGCTTTTTTTTAGTGACTTTCTCTAAGAAAATATAACGTCATATTGTGAAGATTAGAAAAGAATTTGTTTAGTTTTGATTGTTAAATTTTATTCTCACAGAGATCATCACAACTGAAAATAATAACTGTAGATACGTACGTTTAGCAAGTTAAAAGAAAAAAGAAAACTTCCAAAGAAGTTCATAAAAGCCGTGCGAAGCGATCTCAAATTTTGACAATGAGGTTTCAATTAACATACGAACAATCAATAATTTCACCTAGAGCTGATCTTGTACTATAGATGGAAACCAAAATTGCCATTTTACCGAGCGAATCTCTAGAGACTTATCATTCTCTCTAGATCATCACAATACAATGTCCAGATTTTATCACAGCAAGAAACACGCAAAATATAGATACTAAATGTGTAAGCGACCATCTACATAGATGTTGTGCTTCGCATCGTAAAAGTGAATTTCAACAATTTAAATTATATTTATCAGTGTCATGTTTAAAAACGAAACTTTAATCGTTATAACTACATATCAATAGAGCTGTTTTTATAATGTGAGGTTTTTCTTCGCCTACTCACACTCTTCTATTTTTGTACAGTATAGAAACATGTTGTGTTCGCTAAAGATAATATTTCGACTAATTTGGAACATTTATAATTTTATAAACTTTGAGTACAATTTGAAAGACGTACTTAATATTAAGCTCACATCATCGGTTTAGTCTGTATGCCATCTAATTCAGTTTTTTGTAAATAAGTTTCAAGATGAGAAAAAAAAAACCTATCGTCTCGTTATGTTTCATCATTTTTACAATCTATTATTTTCATTTAATGATGTCAATATTGTCATTTCAATGTCATAATTATAAGCGCTTCTACAATAATGATAATCAATCTTAGATAACACGCATTATATAAGCCATCATGTAAAAAAAAAAAGAAGTCTTCTATTTATACATATCGTTTAATCCATCAACTTCATACGGATTCAAAATTGTGAATAGATATTTTAAATTAAAATAAATTATTTTTTCATTTTCATTCTATTTAAGATATAGGTTTGATTTCTTCATTGAAATCTTATTTCATCAATTTTAAGTTCAAGTAAATATATCATGCAATTCGATCCTGTTAAAAATTGTTTGCTGCTTCTTTGTTCGAACCAAGCAGTATTTTTTTTCATTCATTTTTTATTCATCATTGATATCTCATATTTCAAAAATGACGTTCTTTCACTTTTTTTTTTTAAAACATTTTGATTACACACAAACTTTCATCGACTGTCAAAATTACTTATAAAATATCAATAAATAGTTTTTTTTTTTACGTTCAATTTTGTTATTCAGTCTCAAAATAAAATCTCTTCATTTAATTATTAAATGATAAGAAATTTACCATATATATTCGTTTTTATACAAAGCAGTATATGTATGAGTGTTTTTTTTTAATCTCACGTATTTATAGATATGTAGTTACATGATGAACAATGCGCTGAGAAATTTTTGTGTTAAAGGTTAAATTTAACAAATTCCTATCATTTATGATCTATATATGAGGTCAGAATTGTCTATAACAATTTGAGTAACTAGTTGCTATCACTACTATCAACAAGTTGATTGAAGACAAAGAATGAAAAAAGAGAAGAAGAAGAAGAATGTTAGTCAGAAAGAGTTCTTATCGATTATGTGTATTTAGTATTGCTCTTGTTAAGTATGTATATACATCTCACTTTACCATTACGCTTTTTTTTTTCTAATTCTTAATCAGACGAAGACATATGCTCATAAATATCAAATAGAAAACGTTTTAGCATCAAATGGATATTGAAATTCAACGCCGGAATGCACTCATTTCTTTTGGAGCTTTATCAGGTGCAGGAATTATTCTTGCTTTTCTAAGAACATGGAAATGGTTTTCAAGATCTGGAAGAGATATAATCGATTTAGCAGTACGAATTTAATATATTATTCAATTGAAATAAATTTTTATTTTAATTTTTCATAGACAATTGGAAAATTTATCTTGCATTTATGTGGAATAATTGGTACTGTTCTTTTACTTGTTACAGCTGGTGTTTCAATTTATTGTCTTATTATTTTTAAAGTAAAATTAATTTGTGTTTAATATTAGTTAATACTTGAACTTTTTTTTTTTCAGAGTCAATATAATGATGAATTTCAAACAAATATAAGTGGATTGCAAGATTTATTGAGAATTTTTATTATTGTTGCATTTGTATTAAAAACAATCGATATTATTCATTTAATTATAAGACAATCAAGAATAGAAATATTTTTTATGGATTGGGAAAGATCAAAAACAGGTTAATGAAAATATATTTTAAATTATTAATTATAAAGAATTTAAAAAAAAAAAAAAACTAAAGACAATTGTTAATTGTTTTTTAGGTAATCCTAATACTGTATCGATTTGGCGAACATATTTTGCAGCAAATGAATTGAATGAATTACAAACATTTCGTCGTATAAATGTTCCATTTCAACTTTTTTTTGTTTTATTACTTCTTAAAGTAAAATTTATTGTTTTTTTTTTTTGCTTGCTTCTGATATACAGTTTAAAGAAAAAAGAACATCATTCTCTAGGGAATCAATCTTGAAAATATTGCTTGTGCTCAAACTGCGATTAATGTAACTCCATCTGCTGTTTGTAGTGATGGATACGTTCGAGTTTTTCGTATTGGACTCGGCTTTTGTATATTACTTGGAACTGGTATGCATTGATATAATGTTCTTTTTTTTTTTGATTTGATATTTATTACATTTTTTTTTTTATTTTAGCTATTATTCAATATTTAGTTTATATACTTTTTTATCAACGTATAATTGAAGATAAAATAATAAATTTTATTGATTTATGTGCTGTATCAAATATTAGTGTATTTATTCTTAATGATAATTATCGTGGATATTATATTCATGGTCGATCACCACATGGTATGACCGATGTTAATATGAAAGAAATACTTATAAATTTATATCGTGAAGAAAATCGTATGAGTGGTACAAGAGGTTTACAGGCTAATTCAGATGAACAAGTATTTATTATGAAAATTAATAGAAGTTTTCGAACACAATATGAATCATTATTTCGAAATTATTATGTAAGATATATTATTTTGAAATTGTTTAATAGTTTAAAAAAAAAGAAGATCTATGAAAGGATTGATTAAGACAAAAATTTTATAATGAGACGTGTACATTATTCTATTAGATAGTATATTTTCTTAGCATAAGTATTTAATTGTATTCGATAAGAATTTTTCACTTCGTTGACAACAGAACTATTAAATTAAATCTATTGTGATTAAATTACTATTGTTGACAAAGATATTCTTTTCTTTTCGTATCGAACATTTGACTCTGGAGTTATTGATATGTTTATTTTACCTTCTTAATTTACAATAAGACAGCCAGTTGTAACTCAAAAAAACTTACGAACGTATCGTCTGAAGTATTTTATCGTATTTGGGTACATACATAGTTTAGATATAGAGACAGAAATTTTAGAATAGAATAATCTTAAGTATGCTGTCCTCCTCTTTTGGATTACGTCTCATTCTTGGCACGAGTACAATCCATCGAGCTTATATTTTTATCACAGTTAGATTATCGTAAATGATGAGATTTACGTTTGAAGCAATCTTCATAACTATCGGTCTTACTTATGAGTCTGTCTATCTTTGCCGAATCAGTCAGAGGTTGAGATCATAGATATTAAGAAATATTCTCTAAAGGTGAAACCAAATATTGTCGTTTTTGAAACTCATATTCGAATTTATACAACCCTGAATATTATGACTTCGATTTTCGGTTATTTCTCTCATAAGAAAAGAAAGCGAGGTTTTAAAAAAGTTTAAAATAACCTCTAATATTTAATCTAAGATATCTCCAAAATAATTTTCAATCCTGAACAGACAAACTTGTAAGTGAGCCCAATATGATTCTATGAAAAACCAGAGTTTTCTAAAAACATCTTGTTCAAAATTTTTTCCTTGAGCATGTGTTTCCGGATTTTATTAGTATGCTTAATAGAGTTTAGTAGATCGCTTTATTTTCAGAATTTTACGAAACGTATCAGCCAAAACGATTGCTTCTTTCTTGAGATACTCAACGTATTCAAAAAAAAATTTTTAATTTCTCTTATTATGTCTGAAATCTAATCGTTTTTTAAATGCTAAATATCTCAACAAGAAAGAAATTGTTATGACTGATACTTGTAGGACATGTTTAAAATCCTAAAGTTTACTAAAAGCAAAAAAAAAATTTTACGTCAAAAAGTCATTTTCTTTTATTTAGAATTATCATGGACCACGAAAAGTACGAGAAGATGTTGAACGTTATACAAATATGCTTCTACAATCCTATCAAAATTTAAATGGTTTTCTATGTGCATTTATTGATCATTCATTATCTTCACATGAATATATAATTCGTAATCGATATCTAATCGAGAAACTTCTTAATTATGAATTTCGTGTTCGAACAAAATCTAATTTTCAAGGACAATCAGATAATTTCTTATTTATTGGTAAGAAATTTATCATTTGAATACTTAAACTTAATATATATCTTAAATAGATAATGAAAAAACTTTTACAGAAATTCTTTTTTATGGTGAAGAAAGTACTTTATTTATTTGGAATGTAACTACATTTTTATTTATTGATTTTCTTTCTGGTAATTATGTATTAGCAGCTATTATTACTTATATAATTAATGCAGTAAGTATTTTTATTTTTAAATAAATTAAAAAAAAAATTTAATCTTTTTCAAATATAGATTTTTGCTGGTATACGTGATTCATTTGGACGAAAGAATTTATCTACAAAGACATTAATTCCAAAGAACTTTTTAATTTAATACAATGGTTGTCTAAACTATTCGATCAAGTTTATTTTCAAATTGTTTTCGTTATTATAAATTCTAAGAAGAAATTCGAATAATCATTTAAATAATTGATAGTTTTTCCAACTCCTAGAATTATCTAGAATGTTAGAGCAAACAACTCTGTACAAGCCGAAATATTTTTACAGTTCTTTTCAATGTTTTTTTGACTGACGAGGGAACCACCCGAGATGTCAAAAAGCTTTTGAGCTGAAATTTTGCCCATAAGTAGGGGATGCATAGACTAGCAAAAGCCTAAAAGGATATGGGCTCAAGTTGAGATTTGATTGAGATATCGACTATTTACCATAATTTTCCTATAGGATCCTACTTGTCCGATAAAATTAAAGTTTTGAATTTAGGCCTGAAACTTTGTCCACACCAAGGCCCCAATCAGACAAGCTTGCCTACAAAGTTTCAGAACTCTGGGATAGACTATCTCCGAGATACTAGTACGTTAGCATAAAGACGCTTTTTTATGGATATAATGTTTCACATAGATATTTTGGCAGATTGATATCTCGGAGATAGTCTATCCAAGAGTTCTGAAACTTTGTAGGCGAGCTTGTCTGATTGGGGCCTTGGTGTGGACAAAGTTTTAGGCCTAAATTCAAAACTTTGATTTTATCGGACAAGTAGGAACTATAGGAAAATTATGGTGAATAGTCAATATCTCAATCAAATCTCAACTTGGACCCATATACATTTAGACTTTTTCTAGTCTATGTATCCCCTACTTGTGGGCAAAATTTCAGCTCAAAAGCTTTTTGACAGCTCGGGTGGTTCCCTCGTGAGATACATGAAGCTGACGGAAGGTACAAAAGTTGTTGTTTTTTCCATTACTGCGCATGAAAACACAAAATTTTAGTAGTTTCCATAAAGTTGACGTTTCGTTCGATACAGAATTATTTGCTCTATTATCCTAGTTGATTCAAATAGTCACTCTATTTTCGAATTCTACAAGCTGAAGACTTGGTTTCTCAGAGAGATCCTATCCTTGAAAAATTAGTACTCATTTTTATCTTCGACAAACTCTTGTTAGCAATAAAATTATATTTAAAATTGGTGATAGCCGAAAAAAAAATTGAAAATAAATCAAGTCGAATAGTATTGTAGACTACTGTATATTTATATATTTAATTGTTACTATATAGTGAAAACTGTTATTGAAGTACATATTAAATAAATCAAACCAGAAGATAAAATAATCTCGTATACATGGTTTTTTGTTTTTACTTGTTTGAATTAAGTCATTTTTGAAATAATTAAATAAGATAAATTTTTGATTTAATCAATCATATTATCTTGTTGACCAATAAATTTAACAGTTAAAAACGAATTAATTACATGAATAAGTGTTCTTAGATGTTGACATTGAACTTCAATATTTATAATTGTTTCGTTTTCATTTAGAGTTAAATTTTGTTTAAATTGAAAAAATATTTTATCATGTCCATTATCAGAACTTGATAAAAGTTGTTCAAATGTAAATTTCCATAAAATAATATTTGTTTTATTATTATACATTTCAAAACCTTTATTTATATCAATTATTAAACGACATATTTGTCCTTGATAAATACAACCAAATATACGATTATGAATTGAATAAGTCGATATATAAAGTGATCGTTGATAATTTAATATAAAATTATCATAATCAATTTTTCTTTCTAAACTTAAATAACGACATTCATTTGTTAAATCATTTGGTAATATTAATGTAAAACAATATCGATGATCATCACTTGATAATTTACATGTAACAGTTTCAATAAATACTTCAATAATTGGATATACACGTGTACAACATATAAAATCATAAGTACATAATGGTGGTAATTGTTTATCATCAAATATATAAAGATCACTACCTTTAAAAACCATAAATATAGCTTTCCATTCTGGTAAATGATTTTCATTAGGATAAATAACTTGTTCATAAATCCAACTAGCATAAAATATTTGTTCACTTGATAATAATGTTTGATTTAGTTCAGCTAATGTACGTATTGTTAAATTTTTTATAACTGTATTTATACGTGATATCCATATATTTTGTTCAATTGATGTATTAGTTATAATAATACCTGTTTGAGAACCATTAAATGTATGTAATTGAAAGGCATTTATACGCCATTCATTTGTACCATTTATATATCGACTAATATATGCATAAAGAAGAGAATATTCTTGAATATTAGTGTCATCAATGACTGAATTATTGTTATTCTATAAAATAATAAAATATTATCCGAGTCTAGTCAACGAATGTTTTAATTTTTTTTTTGTCATAATCTGATGAAAATGTATGGACTCAAGAAAAAGTATGTGACATTTTCATCTCGACTAACTGAGGTAGTGATTTGCTCTTGTGATATGAGTTTGAATATCGGAAATTTTCACTGTATTGTATGCAATATATATGGGCGTGCTCAACGATAGGATACCCCAATTTCGATACACTCCTATTGTACGG